CGTAGTGGCAGTGGTATTAACAACTGGAACATCAGGAAAGGTGTTAAGCGAAGGTAGAACTGAGCAGAACTTTAAAGGAAGCTAGGTGTTCTCGGAGGTGAAGGTGAGGAGGGGAGCACATTATAGGCATGGTACAAAGGTATGGAGATAGCGAATGAGATGACCTCTAAGGGAAACAGGAAGGAGACTAGTTAGGCTAGATTACAGAGTAAATGAAGAGAAATAAGGTATAATTAATTTGTTAAGATAAGCTTTAGAGATTGTGAACACCTCTCAATGTCCAACAGAAATTTACATTTTATCCTTGAGGCAATAGGGATTAGCATTAGTGAGATTTTTACTCAACGGCATGACATAATTAACTCTCTGCTTTAAAAATATTACTATGAGCTCCATATGGTGGTCTATACCTATAGGCCCTGTAGAGGAGGCTCAGTCTATGAATCCTTGATCTATACTAGGGCTAAAGCTGATTGGGTATCTCTTTGTCTGGCACCAATATACTGAACCCCTGGGAACACAGGAATACTAGTCTGTCCAAGGAAGAGTAGACTGGCTCAGACTGGGGAGAGTTGGGGTGAGGAAGAGAAGGTTAAAGCTTCCATATTGATCCATATTGGAATTGGGCCTGTGAATGGCTACTATATTTTTGGCTTGGGCAACATATAGAGATCCACAGTCCAGGTCAGAGGTAAGGTGGGCTGAACTAAGGTAGTATAGGAAATGAACAATTCCTCATTATGCTATTGCAGTAGCCTGCTTACTGTTCTGCCTGTCACACGTCTCTCCACAGTAGTCCATCATTCACTAAACATCAAACTGATTTTCATAAAGAGTAAGTCCCACCTACTTAAATTCCAGTGATTCCCTTTTACCTCCAAGACAAAATATAAAATCTTTAAGGGTTCAAAATCTTTGCCTTTTCTGTGTTCTTATACCTTATTCCCCTCTATGTACTGTGCTATCCAGGGACACTAGCCTCTTGCCTGTTCCTTTCACAAGACACTCTATCTCCCAGCTGCAGTTATTTTCACTGTCTGGCCCTCCTGCATGGAATGCTTTTCCCCATCCTTCAAGTACAAGCCAAAATCCTAAAATCTTTCCCAAACCCTGTTAATTCCAGTGCCTTCCCTCTATCAATTATTTTATATTTTCCTGTGTGTTGCTTAGTTGTACATGGTTTGCATATTGCCTCCCCTATTAGATTGTAAGCTCCTCAAGGGCAGAGTCTGTCTTTTTGCCTTTCTTTATATCCTCAGAGCTTAGCATAATACCTAGCATATTGAAGATGCTCAGTAAATGCTTATTGATTGACTGGAAGTTCCTGGCTTCCATCTCCCCTGGTGTATTCTCTCAGTGATCTGGCAGGCAGCCCTCAAGCCCCACCAGTGTGTACCAGTTTAGAGCTGCTTATAGTTTCCTTGGTCAGAGCTCTCCTGGCAAGAGTGTATTAGGTTTGATGGACTCCAGAGCATCTAGGTTAGAGTGCTGTGAGCTCTTGGAGCTCAGTAAGCTTTTCTCATCATAGTTTCAGACTTAACTTCTTTTGCAAGCCCTGCACAGAGAGAGAGACAGAGAGATAATGTGCGTGTGTGTGTGTGTGTGTGTGTGTGTGTGTGTGTGTGTGTGTGTGTGTGTGTGTGTGTGTGTGTTTTGCTGTCCTGTGCAGAATGGAGGATTTTATGTTGTTTCTTTTTTAGATTTTTTTTTGGGGAGGTCATTATTCCATCTGGTGTCTTTATTATGTCTTTCCTGATAGATATGAAGAGCTGAGCTTCTCTATAACCATTCATATCACCACCCTAACTCAAAATCCCTAATAAATCTTCATGAATATATTCCTGAACAATTTTTCAAGTACAATATTTCTATTTCAGTTAATATTCCCAAAACATTGAATGAGGCCATTGATTAATAATGAATATGTAAATGAATATCCTTTTTTCTCAAATTAAAAACAATTTGAAAATAAATTAACAAACGTAAGTATTTAAATATATAAAGAACATACAGAGAATATAGAATACTTATGAATCTATTATTTTTAGAAAGTTTGGGGGGTTTTTTTAGTATATATTAATAGTAGTTGGAACGTAGTAGTTCCAGCATTACCTATCTATGTTCCCTTCTGTCCCTCCTTCTGCTCTTGTCTGTATATTTAAAAATATTTTATTCACAATTTTCTTTCGTTTTTTCTTCTTTGCTTTTTTGTATATCTACCACTTCTCTTCCACTGCTGCCCTCAACATCTGTTTCCCCCAGTGAAATTTCTTTAACATTTATATAGCACTTTAAGGTTTGCAAAGCACATTATGTATTATTTAATTCAGTGTCTTTCTTGTAACAAATAAGTACAGTTAAGCAAAATAAATGGGCACATTGGTCATGACTGAAAAATGTAAATCTCATTCTATACCTGTAATCCTGTGTCTCTGTGCCCACAGTTGGAAAACATCTTTATCATTAATTATCTAAAGCCACTAGGGATCATTGCATTGATCCAGCTTTCTTAAGTTTTTCTAAATAGCACTTGTATTTTACCTTATATTCATATTTTTGTAGTAACTAAATTTTAATATACCTCTGAGAAGACAAGGGCACTGTAAGCTCAGAGACAAATGTTTACAATTTTCTTTTATTCTAAGCATTCAGATTTTAATACCTACAAGAATCATACCTTAGTATTCTTTTTAGAGTAAATTGTTCTTATTGGCATCAGTCCTCTTTAGACCCTGCTCTGAACTCTGATACTTTTATTATTGCCATGCTCCCCTGATTTTGCCGTTATTTGAGTGCTTACAAGTTTTAGCACTGATTTCTTTAGCTTTCCTGGTAATAGTTGGTATTTGTCTTTTGTCTTCCTGACTGATATTTAATCAATCAATCATTCAATAATCAGTTGTGCTTTAAAATCTTTATAGAGGCATTTGTAGGAGACTTGAGCTCTCTAAATATCAATAAAAGTCTTTGTGTTTAAAAAAAAACTGGGGAAATAACTTCTAAAAATAACAATTTATTATGTGACTATTGTATACTATATACTGTATTAAATATTGGAGATACACAGAACAACAGCAAAAAAACCCATCCCTGTTCTCATAGAGTTTATATCTATTGTAACTGAAATTGTAACATGGTGTTTTTACTTTTCCAGAACACTTTATGGTCATTGTCTCATTAACGTCTCCCAACACCTTTGTGAGGTTGATTCTACTGTATTATTTTCTCTATTTTACATATTAGGGAGCTGTGGTTAAGGAAAGTTAAATTAACTTGCCCATTTTGACACAGGAGGTATGAGAAAAGGGATTCAAATCCAGTTACTCTGACTCCAAAGCCAAGGCTGTTCTAAAGCTGTTTCTTCTATTTACAGCAAGATAGGAGATACTGGGTAACTTTGATTCCTTCTAGATTTAATCTAGTTTGACACAAGTCAGAGGATGTATGTTCAACATTCAATACTGATATGACCTTGTCCAGATCTCTTATCTATAAAACTAAGGTATTGTACTATTTCTAGCTCTTAATGTATAACCCATGATTTCAGGCTTTTTGATATGTCTTCCAGATACAAATTTTATTGGTCCAGCCAAACTGAACCTGCTTGCTGTTTCTTGAATCTACCCTTCTTGTTTGTTTTTTGAGCTGTTTATTGCTCATGCAATTCTTCATTCTTGAATGCTTTTCTGGTCCACCTTACTCAGATGAAATATCTTTCTCTTAAATCTTCATATTACTTTGTTCATTTTGTGTGGCACTGTCTTGCATTATGATTTCTTGTGCACTTCTCCATATTCCTAATAAATTTTTCAGCTCTGGGAGAGTTTTGACCAAGTATTTAACAAATATCCGTGCAATTGAATTGGATTATAGAAACAGTTTGATTTGAAAAATAAGATTTTTGAATGAAATAGTAGCAGTATGAATTATTTCCATGTCTTAAAAGTGACAGGAGCACTTGGTTTTCAGTGCTGATTCTCTCACTAACTTGCTTTATGACATTAAAGAATCAGTCTTTGAGTTTTACTTTAGTCATCTCTTAAATTAAGGGATTTGGATTTAGATGCTCTTTTCTAGTCCTAGACTCTTCCATAATTCACATAGAAGTATACATGGATCAAGAATTAAAGTATTTCGCAATTCATACACATTTTATTGTGCTTTCTGTGTTTATTCCAGTCTGAAAATGAACTAAATCCAAAGGCAATAACATGACTTTTGTCAAGCCTCCCATTTCCTTTATCTAACCTCTTCAGGGAAGACTTGTTATGTGACAGTAGTGTGGATCCTTATTATTTTCACAGCATGTCTTCTCCCGTGCCCTGTCTCTGACTCTTCTTCTTTGGAATGTGACAAAAGTCACTTAGTTCCCCTCTTTTCTGAAGAAGTTCAGCTTAACAGTACTGGAACTGTTGGTCCTCATATACTTATGCTAGGCAACGTTGACGACCAGACCAAGGCTGCTTCTGAAAGCAATTTTCTTTTTAGAGGAATAAACACTTTTAGACAATCTCAAATATATGTGGAACAGAACAACATAACTGGTTTTCAAAAGGTCTATGACAATACCATTTCTTCATAATTAAATGTCAAAGTACTTTTGATTTTGTTGTTTGTATTCATGCATATAATTTGCATTACTGCATTTTAAGATTTCAATATTTATTTCAAGAACTTGACTATTTAAAATTATTACCCAAATAACTTAGCTATTATGTGTAAGTGGTTGTTCTTCTTTTCATTTATTATTAATTTTAAAGGAATTTTATTTTACTTTCAACTCTGAATTCTCTCTTCAACTTCTCCTTTCCCAGTGCATAAAACATTCATCTTAACAACAGCAACAAAAGCTTGCCCAAGTTTTTCCATCTGTTGGAGAGCACTTACTGCTTCTTCAGTCCTTTCATAGCAATAAATGTAGCATAAAGAATGTCCATTTGTATATTACTAAAGTATAGCATGAATTTTAAAAGAAATCTTCCCTTTTTTCCCCCAATCAGATGAGTACAGTAAAAAGACTACGACCACGTCTGAGTGCCATTCTCTTTAAACTCCAATTTGAGGAGCAGGTGAACAGCCTCAAACCAGACATCATGGCTGTCAGTGCTGCTTGTGACGAGATAAAGAAGAGCAAAAGCTTCAGCAAGTTATTGGAACTTGTGTTGCTAATGGGAAACTACATGAATGCAGGCTCCCGGAATGCCCAGACTTTTGGGTTCAACCTTAGCTCTCTCTGCAAAGTGAGTTTTGTGCTTATATTTACCTGAACACTTTGTTTTTAATTTACCAGGGTTATTCACACTTATCAAATGAAAACAAAATTAATCTGCTTATTATCAGACACTTGACCTTCATGACAAACCAAGGCTAATCTTGACTCAACCTCTAAACTAAATGCGAATGTTGATTTTTTCCCCCTCTGAAATGTAATGTCAATCAAAGTTGTATATTTTATTTGAAATAAAACACAGTGGAGTTGTTTAACCTAGATAGAAAAATATTCAACTGGTATATCAACATACTGAAAAATTACATTTCATTCAGTTTGGAGTCCCTATTTATCATAATGTATATGTTCAGTGATCTTTAGACTTAGTTTTGATTTTTTTTTTAACATTTAGAATCTTTAATTCACATTTTGCAGACAAATTTAAAAAAAATCAGGCAATAGCACATGAAGGTAAGAAATTTATACCTAAGCTAGATATGCATAGGTTTTTCTAAAACATTTTAAACATTTTTCTCCTTCTTGATCAATTGGAATATATGCAATATATGCAAGTACAAATTGTATCAGATTGTAGGTTGTTTTCTCTTGGCATTTTCTGCATTTAATAATTGAGTACCAAGAATTTTATGCATAAACTAGTTTTCTGTTTAACAAAGCTCTTTTTTTGAGGGAATTTCCAATGGTAGTAGTGCTTTAATGATTTGATAATGATCTTCTGTGGGGACTTGGTTTTTTTTAATAGAATGGAAGAACTCCTAGTGATGGAACTTCTTCTATTAATACAGTTCAACAGTTGTGCTGTAATTTTTGTGTTGGAGATTTTCCGAGGGCACTGAAAGGTTAAAGGACTTGCCTAAGGTCACACACACATCAATGTGTCTAAGGCTCAACTTGAATCCAGGTCCTGCTGATTCATAGGGTGGCTGGCTATTTATTATAAACAAGGTTGGGGTTTTTTTTTAAAGTTAATTAGACACTATAGGTACATTTTCTTTTCTTTGGATAGATAATGTGCACTGTAATGAATGTAATGGATTGCTTTTGTTGCCATTTTTGGTAGGTGGAGTAGAAACATTATAATAACAGCTGTTTACAGATGAACTGTTCTCCCTCTTCGTTGAGGACACACAGACTCGTGCTCAGCTTTTAGTCTTCCATTAACCATCATATATTCTTCCCACTTCCCTTTTGGCTCATTTCTGCTTTTTGTTTTTTAATGCTTTTATTGATGGTTGATTTAGTCGCAGTTTATTTAGGTCATCCAGACTTTTCTCTTCTTTCAAAACCTATAGTTATTCATTTTTTTTTCTCATCTCATGTCTTCACCCTCTGAACTCATCTGATCATTTAGACATCCTTATCTATCTCTCAAGTAAGAATGTCATAGTACCACAGCTAGTAAAGAATTAGCATGTTAAATAATCTTTTAAGCCATCTACTTTTATTACTAATTGATTTAGTCTATCCCGTTTCATTGTTTCATATTCACATTGTTTCATGTTCCCCATAACTGGAATTTTTTTCCTCCTTCATGGTGATTAATCATAAAAATGATCAAAATCATCTTTGGGGTAAAGATTAAAACTGTTTTTATTTCTTTAATATTTAAGGGTAGTTTTAAAAAGGTACATGTACTTGAAAACATTGAACATAATGGGTTTTTGCTATTAACCTTTAATGAAACATTTCCATTATGATTTTTATTAGAATATTATTTTAATTCTATTATAGATATTTAATTCATCTGTCCTGAGATCTTTATGTTTGCATTCCTCCTCTCTTTGTACAGCTTACAAAATCAATCCTTCAACTTTGAACCTTTTAAGCTTCCTTATTGACGAGAGTAGATTTTTTTAACAAAATATTATCTCATATTTATTATCAGGAGGAACAGCTTGATCTTTGAAAATTGTAGTTGAATTTGCAAGCTGAGTATAAAGTACTCCTATTATTGATAAGCATCTCCACTACAAATTCTGTGTTTATTTGATAGCAGAAAGGTAGGGAAATAGTTGAATTTCTTAAAAAGCATGCTGGGAAGTTACTCTTTGACATTAACTGTTGTAAAAAATTTGTGCTTGAAAGAGACCTTCACAAATTCAGCACCAGCATAAAAATGTGGAGCGTCTGTTGAACTCTTAAGATTTGGAGATAGGTGAATGATTTCGTATTTAAAAAAAAATTCTTTTTCCCTTAGTATAACCGAGTGTAGTTTTAGAAATTGTAATATGCCTTTGGTAATCTTCCAGGGACCAACAAAGTATTATACATTTACTATATGTTGGGTGTTTTTTCAGTTTTGTACCTGTGATTTTGTCTGTCTGGAAATTTCTTCCACTTATACTGATTCGTAACTTCTCTGTAATTTTTAGTCTTAATCCCTTAGGACACTGACAGAGAGGTTAAGTGACTGGCCTCTGGTTATGCAAGATATGCACACGCACACACACACACACACACACACACACACACACACACACACACTCACTCACTCTCTCTCTCTCTCGGCTGTACTTTGAACCTAGGTCTTCCTGCCTATTAGGCACTCTGTCAACTGTGCTTCTTTGTTTTTCCAAAAAGAGAACGTGAAATATACACACACATGAATAATACAAAGTAGAATATACAGTTAAAAAATGCTTTGAGAAATTTGAGGCTGGAGAGATCCTACCTGACTGAGAAACTATGGAAAATTAAGGGAAGAAAAAAAAACCTAAACAGTAGCTTGAAAGGTGGTTGGATTTTAGTGGAAATGCTTTTTAAAAATGCAGCCTATTGGGTGGGGTAGGGTGGCCCTGTATTTTGTTTGATATACTTTAAAATTGTTTATTTTCTCCCATTCTCTACTTTTGTTGACTCCTTAAACTGGGAAATTTTTTTGGTTATACATGGATCTTCCTTTGGTGATCTCTTATATCAGTTTGCTCCCAGAATGGAATAATCTGTTCTTGAGGGTTCAGTATGAGAGTGTGCCTGGGGTCCAGTGCTATGAAGCACTGCTGTCCTTTTGGGGAGTAGAAAATATTCACAAAGTAAGAGATACCTGTCTTTGTTTAGTTCTCTATTAAGTGTGAACATAAACTCAGTGAAACTGAAATGGATAATGATTTTGATATTCTAAATTATTCAGATCTACTCAACATATTCTTAATAGACAGGCAAAATTTTAGTCCTCATAAAAGTATGAGATTTAATATTTTTAAGCACCTCAGTCCTTCCAGTAAATACTTTTAAAAGCCTTAATTTAAAGGAAAAAGTTAATCCAAATGTTTTTGTCTTATCACTGGTGTATAATTTGTAAGAAAGATAGCTCTCAAAAATACTTGCTCTCTTCTACCTTATTTACCTGAGAAAGATTTTCAGTAGCTCCTACCTGGGCAAAAATATTCTAAGTAAATTTTAGCAACTTTATTATTACTTGATAGGTATTGATCAAACATTTTAAGATAACCAATATTGGTCTTCAATTTGTGTGCAGGAAGTTGAATATTTCCTGGTAGAATGATTTCTAAAACAGTGCATAACAAGTAAAAGCTTGTTTTTGAGCTTTGCTTTAGATTTTAATATCTTTTCTTTGCCATATTGCCCAAACCACATGTCTAGTGCTTTATTAAGCTTTCTACTCTATAATTTACACATAGCAATGCTTGTGTTTCTTGGGAGTCTTTTTTTTTCTTTATTTCATTGAGTGATAATAGAATCCTTAAATGTTAGAACTGGAATAGATGTCAAATTTTTAATTCAAAATCTCCCTTTTGTATATTAGGAAATTAAGTCCTAGATTATTGCCTTGTTTCAACTTTCTGTATTATTCTTTAGAGTTTTTATGATTATTATGTGTGTTGCATTTTGTGTATATTCATCATTTCTTATATGAAAAGCCATCATAAAAGGGAGAGGTTAGAAGAAAATAGTTGTAAATTGCAATAACTATGGGAAACCACCAGAGCAGAACCATGTCCACAAACTGAAAAATAATCTCTGAAATTATCAGATGAAATAAATTAGTTGTTTAATTAGGTGTGGTGTGTCAAGTATTCCTTTTAATTCTTGTGTTATAATAATGTCAAATATGTAAAAAGGACAAAAATATTTCTAGTTTTCAGTTTTTAAATTGTAATTGTATATTTGATCTTTACGCTTTTGCTTGATTCTATCACTTTATAGTTATTATGAAATCATCTCCATCCTTAAGAAAAAAACATAATCCTGGCGTAGTGAACTTGGAGTCAGAGGACCTGAATTTAAATCTCAGCTCTATATTCTATCTAGGCGTCTACTCAGAAGTCAACAGTGACTTGATTTTTAAAAAATTCTTATCGCTTTTATATTATATTCATTTCCAAATATACTGCTTTTCACCTATATTTGATCAAACTGCTTTCCAGTTTCTCAATAGGTCTTATTAAATAGGGAGTTTTTCCTTAACTAGTTTTTAGTCTTGTATTTAGTTAACAGAGTGCTAATGATTTTATGCCAGTTTTATTCACCTAGTGTGTTCTACTGATCTCCTTTATATTTTTAACCAGTACTATAAATGTTTTATAATTAATTAATGCTTAATAATGTAATATGTTGTCTGGGCATGCTACCTTCTTATCATTCTTTCGTCTTGATCATTTTCCTTTATATTTGAGAACTTTGCTTTATCTCAGTTAATTTTGTTAGTTTTTTCTAGGTCTCTAAAGTAACACAAGTAATTTTGGTATTACCATTAAATCTGTAAATTAATTTAGGTGGTAGTAGCATTGCTTTTATCAATTTGACATGGCATCACAAAAAACCATGAATATTCACTTAAGTTTCCTTTATTTCTATGAAATGTTAATTTTTTAAAATGATATTTATGGAAACCTTGAATGTGCCTTTGTAGGTTGGTTCCTAGAAATTTTATGCATTTTTCTCACTATTTTGAATGTTATTTCTCTTGTTTCCTTTTAGTTTTTGTTATTGCTGATAGAAATACTGACCTTTGTTATCCTGCTACTTTTCTTGATACTATTGATTCAA